CTGCCCCTGCCTCTGCTGCTGCTTCTACGGGGCTGCCATCTCTGCGAACTCTTTTTTTTCTTTCCCAAGTAATTCCTGAGTTATCTCACAAATCCTCTCTCTGCTACTACAGTTTTTTTTTGTTTGTTTGTTTGTTTGCAGTCTAGCATGGCTCAGCTTGGTGTCTCTGAGCTCTTCTGGAAGGTAGGGAAGCTGGAGCCTTTGGTGCTTGTACTGACCACAGAGTTCACAGTTCCCTGTCTGTGCCTCCGCGTTCCCACTGTTCTGGGATCGGGTCCGCACCCACATGTGGCCGAGTTCCTGCAGAGACTCTCACAATGCTCTGTATTGCCCTGGCATGGCTCAGGTGATTGCGCCCCAGCCCATTAGGCTGGCTGGGAGAGCTCTTTCAGTCCTGCTCCCCATTGCTCCCTTCTGCTCAGTGGTCAAGATCTCTGTGGTTAAGTCTGGGGACTCTACAGCTGGGGACTCTATAGCCCAGACAGAGCATCTGGATTGTCCTTTGAGCAAATACTATTGTTCATAGATGTTGAGTAATCCCACCCTCGCTGTTCTGCCATGCTGTGGAGGAGGGGGGTTACCACTCCACAGTTTTGAATACTACAGTTTAGTTTGAAGTCTGGGAGCACAACAATTCCATTCTTATATTTTCCCCTCAAATTGCGTTAGCTGTTTGAGGTCTTTTGTGGACCCGCGCAAATTTCAGTAATGTTTTTCTATTTCCTTGAGGAATGTCATAGGAATTTTGATAAGGATTGCATTAAATCTGTATCTTGCTCTGGGTGAGATGGCTGTGTTGACAATGTTGATTGTTCCAACTCATGAGCATGGAACATCTTTCCATGTCTTTTTTTTTTAAACAATGTCTTTCACCTATTTTGTTAAGTTTACACCTAAGTACTTAAAATCCCAATACCTGGGATTTTAAGAAAAGATTGGAATCATCACTGTGAAGAGCGATCCAGGGAGTCGGTGCAGTAAGCAATGGTTATACAAGTACAGGTGTTTTTCCCATTTGCTCTACCTGACAGAGGCAGGGCCAGAGAAAGCAGATAAAGAGGTGGCCCAGCATTTGGGATTTGGAAATGGTGATAGAAGAGTATTGACTGGAGTGCTGGGAAACACTGAGGTAATTCACCTGAAACTCATTCTTAAGCCTTACAACTAATTAATGCCAAGAATGTGTTAGCTCTTAGGGGAAACTAGCTTAATCTTTATGAGTGTCAGGCTCCTCGTTTGTAAAATGGGATAAACAACACATGCATTACCTCCGCCACTGATTGTCATGGAGACACATCAGTTGTAAAGGGCCTGCTGGCTGTGGAGCAACAGTCTAACAGGGATCAAGAAGCACCATCAGAGGGGCCCTCCCTGGTGGCGCACAGCCACTGTAGCATGAGTTCAATCCCTGGCTAGGGGGGTGACCCATGTAGCATGGCAGAACCCCCCGACCCACCCGCTTGCTCCCCTCAGCACTGTTTCAGTCGGTCTACCTGTTCAGCTCCTCTGTTTCTGGTGAATCCTCTCACCCCACCCCCCCCACCTCCTTGGCCTGTACCCCAGTTCTGTATGTATAAATAAATGAACCTTAAAAAAATACTATTAGATGAGAAATGTGGGGATACCTCCAGAGGACTCCCTGACATGTCCCAGATTCTTTGGAGGGGGTTAAGTGGTGGCCCTGTACTAGTGTTAGGCAGTGGGGTGGAGTTTGGGGATATAGTGGGTAAAAGATGCCTGTTGCCACTCCATTGTTCTCTGGTGCTGTGAACCTTAGGTCGCTCCATCAGACCACTGACAGGAGAGGTCAACAAAGGGACCCATCCTCCATGTGTTGGAGGATTTCTGGTAGCCCAGAGGCCTAAACCATTTCTATCTGACATCAAATAGGCATGTCAACCCCATCCTGAAGATTCAGTCTCATACAGCTCCACAAAGAAATACCATGGTGGCTAGCAAGAGTGATTGGCACTGAATGCTGGTCATGGGGCCTTGGACTAACCATGAGTTCCAGTGTTCTTTGGGCATCAGAGGATTGAAGAATGCTATGAAAGAATGCTATGAACTGGGACCAAGATTCAGACAAGATCTGGTATAAGCTAAGCCTTGATGGCACTACTGACTCTGGTTGGTTCCAGACACATGAAGAAGACTTAAGAGAATTCTAGTAAGGTCCTCCAAAGCATTTGGCTCTCCGAGACAAAGGACCAAGACAGGGGCCTGGGGCTAAGGATATTATTATAAGTAAGCGACTTACATGAGGTTAAGTTACAGGAAGAGCTGGCATCTAGCTCTGTCACTAGGATTGCTCACTCTAGGAGAAGCTAGCTGTCTGCTGTGAGCGGTTTCCAAGGGGTGAGTACTTGGGGAAGACAAGAAGCACACATGAAAAGGAACTAAGGCCTCTACCAACAGCCAGCACTAAGTTTTCTATGTGGGTGGATGACCTGCTCACCTCTGACTACAACCTCATGAGAACCTGAATCAAAAACAGAATAAATCACCTATGTTATCAATGAATGAATGGCCTATGTTGCTCAACACTATGCAGGTCAAACACATAGCAACTTAGATTTCTATGTGGAAAACTCATTATTGGCTTGACAAAAGGTTTCTTATGCCTTAAGCGTGGCATGGAAGCAGAACGGCTGCACCTGAAAGGACCATGCTAGCACAATGGTAAAAACCTGTGCAGCAACTCGTGGATTGATAACCAGGAACCAGATAACCCCAGGCATGTTAGCCCCAAGTCTGGGTTGGGGGGAGAAATGCCCAACACTGATAATACGCTTTTTCCCATTCTGATGGAATAAGTTTCAAAATATTAGGATGCACATAAAGAATATAAAAAATCATATTTATTGCCTATCTGAGTATTGAGACTCATACTCTGCACATTTGTAATGTTTTTAAAGACTTCTTCATTTATGCATACAAAAACTGGGGTGTAGGACAGAGGTGGGTGGGTGAGAGGGTTCACCAGAGACAGAGTGGGGAGCAGAACAGGTAGGTGTACTGAAATACATTGCTGAAGGGATCAGCAGGGGAGACAGGAGAGGTCTGTTGTGCCATGTGGGTCAGCTTCCTGGCCAGGATCTGACCAAACTCTTGCTGGAGATAGCTTGATACCTCTGACACTAACTTGTGAGCCATCAGGGAGGCCCACACTTCTAAGTTTTAATAAGGGAGAGAAATTAAAGAAAAGATAACTATTGTGTACTTCTAGAAAATTATTTCCTAAGTTCCGGGTTCTGATCTAATCTCCACTGGTCAAATGTTTAATTTAAATTTTTTCCTCTTATTTCGCCAGAAACTTTTCTGTCCCTGAGCCTGTTTCCTTATATGTGAAATGAGGGGCAGGGGTGGATTTATATTTTGTGCAGCCTGATACAAACAACTGGGTGCTGTATTTAAGAAAAATCATACAAATTAGCTAATAAAGTCAGTAACTATAACAAAAAAAATTCACAATCTGGAAAAATAACATGACTACTCTTAACTGCCTGGCAACTACGACAGCTTCCTACCCCCCCAACATTTTTTGGCTGCATACTCTACCTCTTCGTATGATTATTTTGTACTGTTTTTATGGAGACATTTAAAAATAGTTTTAAAAATTGAGAGCGTAGAAAAGTTGCTGAAGTCAGTGCACAATTCCTTACTGTAAGTGCGTGCACCGATGGTGAGCTCTGGCTCTTTGATCTCCTTAGGCTTAGTTTCTTCCGGCTGCCAGGGCAGCTGGCTCTCTTGGGTCCACGCCCTGCTCTCCTCTCCCACCCACCTCACTCTACTCTGACTCCCAGGGCAAGTGACCACCTGTCTCCCAAGCAGGCGGATGGGGTGGTGGGCGGCCAGGACTACCGCCCCATCAGCGCCCCTAGAACCGGGCCTTGGGCTGAAAGGGTCCTCGTAGGGTCTGCGCGCCCCAGGATTGGGGCTGGGGCTGCGGGCTCAGTGGGCCGGGGGAATTTCCTTCCAAGGTGCTCTGAAGCTTAAGGTCCACCACAGTCACAAAAAAACTGGCCCCCGTGAGAGAGACGGTGTTTTCTGAATCTCATTGAAACCCTATGATAAGCTTAAAGCCAGACTCTGAGACGTTGCAGGGCTATCCATCACGCGTCGCGGCAGGCCCACCGCCGTCAGGTGTCTCAGGCGGTGCCGCCCTCCTCACTGTCCCCACTAGAGGCAGGTTTCCACTAAGATCCTCCCTCACTATGGGAAAGGAGGCGGGAACCTTTTGCTCCGCCGTCGGTTGGCCACCAAAGTCTTGATGGATGGGCGTGTTACCGAATGACTCCGAAGAGAGCCGGTTGTTTATGCACGTACAGCCAATGGAAAGGCAGACGTGGGCGCAACCGCCAATGAGGACGGGGCCAGAGCGGAACTCGGGGGCGGGGCTTCCCTCGCGGGGCGGGCGTTGCGTGAAGAGTCTGGTGCGGACCGGGGAAGAGGCAGAAGCACATCCGGTACTGGAAGAGCTGTCCGGGTTCCCGAGAGGCAGGTAGGAAGGTACGTGTTAAGCTACGGCTGCGCAAGCTGGGGGTGAGACGTGAAAAAGGGTTTAGCAGTTACTGTCTGAGCAAAAATGGGAGCAGTCTCTGTTCTCGGACCGCACCCTGAAACCGGGCCCTGGCCGGTGGCTGGACTCCGGAAAACTGGGCGGGTGGGGGAGCAAGGGAGGGAGCTAGTGCCGCGCGTGCGCAACCGGCCGGAGGGGGAGGGGCGGGCGCGCCTGCGGCGTCTTGGGGGCGTCGGGGGCCGCGCTTGACGCGCGGAAACGCTCGCGAAGCCCCGTATTGAGCCTCGAGCCCTTTCTCCCTGCGTCCCTGACGGCGCGCCCCTCCTCCCCCTAGGGTGGACCCAGGGGCCGTTGGCCCAGCCCGGCCACTTGAATGCGGGGCGCGTCTTCCTCCCCTAGCTGAGGTCAGTGCGAGCGAAGTCGCCGCCCCCGTGGTCACGCCCGCCCCACCCGCCCTTCGCTGCTCTGCGGGCGCGGGGCCTGGACTCCGGAAGGGTCCAGCGGGCGGGGTGCCCTGTCGGCGGCTGGTGATGTCACACTGCTCTGTGACATGTAAGGCTCCGTAGTGACTGAAAACCAACAGCAGAGGTCGAGGGGAGAGGAGATTGGGTTTGGCCTGGTGCCCCGGCCCCGCAGGCCAGCCCCGCTCCGGTCCGACTGGTTACCTTTGGACAGGTGAGCTGGCCTTGGCTTCGCTGCGTCCGGAGCCCTTGGGCGACTTTCTCAAAGTCGCCCTGGAAATCTTGGGCGACTTTCTCAAAGTCGCCCTGGAAATGTGTCGTTGGCTCTGGGTTTTTTCTTGGGCCTCCGTGCTGGAGGTGTGGTGGTGAGTAGGCGGTGGGATTTGTGCACGTTTCTAAGCGTGGAGTTGCATCTCCGTGCCAACCCGGGAGGCATTGCCAACCCCATCAGCCTTTCGTTGACCAAACAACAACAAAAACCTGAACTTGACACGCTGCGCTGTTCTCTTGTGAATATGTAACCCAGTGGAAGAGCTGACTGCCTCAAACACAGATTTGAAAGTTAAAGGTCAACGGACAATGGGCTTTTCTAGTTACTTATGGATGTTTATTTCTGGTTTATCTTGTGGTTGAGTGCGTAGTTTAAGAATTCAGTTCAAGAATGGTTACTGAAGTTGTGTAACCACATTTCTCAAGGCTTCTGCAAATACACTTCTGTATTCTGTTTATTCTCTTTGGTGTTTTCTTTTAATCCTTTGTCTGATTTTTTTTTAATTTAGCTTCAAAAATATGTTGACATTTAGATTCTTTGCTACTTCCCACCCAGCGGAGCTGTGTTTAAATCCTTGGAGAAATGCAGTCTGATTTGGCATTTTCTTCTATGATTTCTCTTGTTGGGGAAGCCTGGCTTTAGGAAATCTCTCCCTTCCTTCCCTGCTGTTATCTAACTGGTCTTCCTTTTCCTAAAGAGTAAGAATGGTCGATTTCGGTCAGATACTTAGCACTTCCGCTTTTTTTTTTTTCTTCCTGAAAGTGCGTATAGTTCGTGTTTGAGTAGAAATGCTGGAAAACACAGAAAACTGTGATAGGAATCAGCATGTTAACCTTTTTTTTTTTTTTTAAGATTTCTTTTGACCTGTGGCTGAAACTGAGTGAATGAAAATTTGCTTTTCTGCTGTAGAGTAGTAGAAAGGGCACCAGATTTCTCTGATATTGATCATTTCAGTGCAGGTGTTCTTGTTTGGTATTTATAGTATTGATTCCACAGGTTTTCTTACTGGCATTTAATTAACTTGGAAAAGCAGGTGTTCATTAGACTTATTTTACAGATTTGAGGATGCTTAGATGGCCTTAGGTAAAGTGGTTTTCCCAAAGCTATGTGGGAGAAAATGTCAGGACTTCGAACTCCAAACCCAGTACTCAGCCCACTGTTAGACACTGTTTTTCACCTTTAAAATGGGGCTGGTTATTCCTCATGGATTTATGTGAAGATCAAAGAAGAGAATACATTTTGAAAGTCATAAAATTTTATGTAAATGTAGTCAGTGGTGTTACAGAAGATACCACTGCTGACTTGAAGAGTTTCACTGTATTTCATAAACTACCCAAGAGAATTAATTTCCTCTGGGAAATATCCTCTTGATGCTCTATCTGCTGAATTTTTATTTTCTACATTGACTTGACTGTAGAATTTGGTAGAAGTGTCATGCATTTCACTGGGTTTTGTTTCCCCCAGAGTTTCTAACCAAGTTTCCTAGTGACTTTTATATTATACACATTTTGTTATGCAAAGACTGTTCCAACCAAGAAGAGAAAAGACTAGAGCTTGGAATTCAGTGACCTCTGAGTAGGGTTGATTTGCGGTTGCAACATTCTCAGATGATGTGGTTTACTTTTGTTGTGACTCCTGGTTGTGCTTAATTATGGGCCATAGCAAAAGCCTTGTTCTGAAGGGGCTTACAGCCATATGTGAGAGAGCAGTTCTGTCACAATTAGCTGAAGTACAAACACTTGAAGAAGAGCTTTCAGGGTGTAGAAGTTGTGAGGGTGTGCTGTTTGTCCTGATGCTTACTCTCATTTGGCTAACTGGGAGGGAGTGCAGGTTTATACTAGATGATGGATATGTATTTAGGACTCTGGAACTTTCTTTAAGATTCAAACTGTTCAACAGTTATGGTTCTAGAGAGGTTCTGTAGTGTCTGTCTGGGACAAGAAGCTATTGAAGGAAGTAGACTTTCCATCTCCTGTGGAAACTAATTTGGTTCTGAGGCCATCCTCCTAGGGAGGCAGGATTTATTGTTGGCTAGTTCAGGGAGTTTTGGTCCAGATTAAGAAAAGAGTTTGGGAGATCTAGGGCCTAGACAGGACTTTGAAAGCCCCTCTCTCATCTTAATGGAATTCTTTGCATTTTCTGAAACCAAATTGATCTACTTCTTAGGGATTGCAAGGAAGGCATCAAATTATTGGCTTTTTTTTTTCTCCAGCAAATTCTCTGTCACATCAGATTATCACTTAGTGGCTATTAGACTTCTCAAAATGTCTGTGTCCCTGTGGGACAGGAGATACAGTGTGAATGTAACAGAGAAGAGGTATTCCACTTAAAAAAGTAATTTTAATCAGTACTGTGGTTTATCATTTCCAGCCTTATTTTCATTAAATTTTTTATGTGGGTAAATATTAAGCTTTCAGCATATGACAAGCTGTGAGCTAGTGGTTTTATAACTTTTAAAAATTAATTTACAGGTTTTGTAAATAGGGTCTGTGATAAACATCTTCTAAAATTATAGAGAGTGTATACTGAGGACATGAGAGCTATGATTATTTACACAGTAACAACAATGGTTAACACGTTGAACCAGTTTTTATGAAATACCCTTTTAAGCACTTTATATTCTTTCACCTAATCCTCACCTATGAAGTAGGGAATGAGGAAACTGAAGCATAGTGAAGTTGCAGAAATCCGCTGCATGTCATGTAGCTAAGAAGTAACACAGAAGGCCATGCTGTTAATTAACCACTGTGCTTGGGAAATGGCTAGACAGAATCTGAAAATTGTTCAATAGGAAGAACTACTGAAATTTTTAAAAAGTTAAACAATTCCTCCTCTCCTTTTTAAAACCATTTGGGATCTTCTAAGAATTTGGTTCTTTTTGGGTGTGTGGGGTCAGAGTTCCAGATGGTTGAATTACTGTCACAAGAATGTACATCTAGGGCCTCCTTGGTGGGGCAGGGGTTAAAGTCTCAGTGTGTCAAGCTGTCACCAACAATAGTTACCCTGGTCAGGGAGTGACCCACATGGAGCAGCAGACCTCTCCTGACCCGCCCACTGCTCCCCTCAGCAGTGTATTTCAGTCCATTTGCCTGTTCTGCTCCCCACTCTGTAGTACATTCTCTCACCTCCCTGAACCTCTGGCCTACACCCCAGTTCTTGTATGCATAAATAACTAAATAAAATATTTTTTTTTTTAAAAAGGTGAACAACTCTATACTTAGCAAAATAAATGCTTACTTTTGTGAACAGTATCTTCAATTTGCTGATTTAAAGTTAGGTAATGTACACTGTTGGCACCTTCTGAATTGGTTCCAGTGCAACTGACTTACTATTCAGTAGTCATCTGACTTTTAAAAGAAAAGGATTTTTAAAAATTTATAATAAATTCATGATTGTTTTTGTTTTGCATAACTTTGGGCCACTTCACCAAGTTTGTCATACACCTTAAGTCTTGAATAAGACTACAGAAATTAATTTTTTAAATTTAAGGTCTGACCCTTGATAATCTTTCTTTTTAGGACATGGGTTAAGGAAGCTACTTAGAGCAAAACAGAAATTTATTAACAAGATATTAATGTCCCTGCGTCCTCTCCCTCTGCAGATACAGAGTGCCTAATTCTAACTAAACTGTGTTCACTGAAGTCTTTCTTGGTAAAGCTATGCGAAGTTCTTGGTTTTGGTTTTTGGGTAGTTCTGGCAGATGAGACTGGCCCAGAGAACCACAGAATGGTAACACTTCCGACAGAATTTTAGCAATATATACATGGTGAATTTTGACACATTCTGACAAATTTTGGAATTCCTGCTCTCCTAAGAATGAAGGTGTAAAATGAGATGCTCAGCCAAATTAAAGAAACTGTTCATGATTAACCTGTGAACATTTACTTGTCATTAAAAAATTCAGTCCAGGCAAATTTCCTTGGTCCAGGAGTCACTCTACACTTTGTAGTCTATGTAAATAATCAAGCGTCCTATTCTAGAGTTAAGTATAGAACTGGGAAGTGGAGAGAGGATCCAGTTTTCAGATTTAAAAAAAAAATTGTGCATGCAAGAACTGGGATATACGCCAGAGGTGTGGGGTGATGAGAGGATTCACCAGAGACAGAGTGGGGAGCAGGACAGGTGGATGAAATACACTTCTGAGAGGAGCAGCCGGCGGGACAGGAGAGGGCTGCGGGCCATGTGGAGTTAGGGGATCAAATTCTTGCCACAGTAGTTGGTGGTTGCTTGATAGTCCTGAGACTTTTAATTCTGTGCCACCAGGGAGCTCCCAATTTTAAAATTTCTATGTGAGTTGGAGTCCAGGACAAAACAGACCATTGTTGGTATCTTAATGGGCTTAGATGCGCTTTAGACTGCTATATTGAAAAAATTATAAGTTTATAGTTTTTTTTCTTTATTGTAGTAGAATACACGTAAAATATGCCATTTTAATGTATGTTTTATGGTCAGTGTTTACAGGCCCTGTTTTTTACTTATTTTCCACACTATCATCACTTAACTTTCTCTTTACCCTTTCTCCCTTTTCTCTTTTGATTTCAGAAGCCTGATTAGCTTGTTAGTATCTAGTTTTTAAAGTATTTGCTTCATTCAGTTGTTCACTATGTAACTATCCTTTGTTATTCTGACTTGCTTTGCATACGTAATTACCTTGAACTCCTTCCATTTGCTGTAAATGGCAACAGTTCTATCTTTCCTTATAAATGCATAATAATACATTTTGTGGAAGTACACAACCTTGTCTCTCTGTCTGTGGACACTTAGGTGGTTTTCTTGTTCTGCTTTTTGTAAGTAGTGCTGGAGGAGTGATGGTTTTATGATCTTTGGATAGCTGCCCAGGGGAGGGATCCCTGGGCCATAATGTGTTTAGTTCTGTTAAGGTAAATCCAGATCAATCTCCCCCAATGGCTGCACCATTTCACATTTCCATTATCAGTGTCATAGATCTCCTCTTTCTCCATGTCCTTTCCAGCACTTGCTGTTGGGGGCCCTTTTTACATATGTGCCTTTCTCAGGGAGGGGTGCCTTTTTTTTTTTTTTTTTTTTAAAGATTTATTTAAGTATACAAGAATTGGTGTATAGGCCAGAAGTCAGGGTGAGGGGTGAGAGGATTCACCAGAGACAGAGTGGGGAGCAGAACAGGCAGAACAATGTATCTGTTGGTTTCTGTATGTCCTTTCTGGTGGTGAATTATCTGTTTAGATTTGTTGCCGATTTATTAATTGGGATGTTTCCTTTTTATATTGCATTAAGTTTTTTATATCTTAGATATTAATCTCTTCAGTTATGTAAGATTGAATATTTTCTCTCATTTAGTGGGGATTGTTTTTAATCTACTTAAATTTTCTTTTGCTGTATAAAAACCTTTTAATTTGAGGTAATCCCAATTGTTTTTTCTTTATTTCCCTTGCCATAGGGTTTGAGTCTATTTTAAACTTAAGATTCTCATTTAACTGTATTTCATGTAACTGAAATCCTTGATTATTGATTTTCAACCTTTGTTAAGAACTAGCTGTTCCTGGGACTGAGAATATTTTTGGGAAAAGAACTTCTGTTAATTACAAATGCAATTTATTCTTGCTCAGCTAACTTTACATATGGACATTGAAAGGTGAATATCTTTATGCAATATCTGAGCACAAATAGTGGAAACTAAGATAAAAACTTTGTGCTGTGTCTGGCAAGACTTTTAGGCATGAGTTTTACTTAACTCTCTACTTAACCTGTATTATATCTTTCTTACTTCTTGTCTATTTGGAACAGACCTAGAGCCAAGTCTAAGACCTAACTTTCTTCCCTTGCATTTCGACAATTTTTTGAAATTAATGTTGTATATACATTTCATTTTTATTAAATGACATACTTCATTGCATTTCTCCCTATTCCTCCTTAATATTATTATTAAAATTTGTGTGTCTTTGTATCTAGAAAATTTGGTGGTTTCACTCAAATTTTAGAATCGGTAGTGGTGTTGGTAGTTGGTTTTCTTTGATTAAAACCATGAGCCATTGCTAAATAATAGAGAAGTTTCTACTAGACACCACCTTCCCTATCCTCAAAACCTTTGATGGCACAGTTTTTTCCATCAGCAGTTGTAAGAGGGGCCTTCATTTCTCCTGGGAGATGTCAGTGAAAGAGGAGTTTCTGCCATCCTCCCCTCAATGGTTTCCACTCAGGGGGGCTGGTTACCTGCTGTTGCCCCTTTCTAACAATCCTCTGGGTATTTTTAAGAGACCCTCCCCCCCTTACTTTTAACTCTCGAAATTGGAAGCAAGAGGGCTCCAGTGTTGTTGTGAATACTGAGAAACTTGACTCTGAAGGTTGCTTCAGTACTGTTGCAAGTTCTGTCTAGGGATGTCATTAGAGATGTTAATGGAAGCCTTAAACAAAGACACTTCCCAGGTGCTGGATTCTGCCATCCTGTAAGTGGGCTCTCTAGAGGATGTATTCATCATGGTTGTAGAAGGCTGTGGTTGGCAGCGCAACAGCCTGCAATAATTGCACCATCTCGATCAACAGGGCCTGGAGCCCCAATGACTTAGAGGTGAGAGTAACAGCTTTGGTAGCTTCTGTAGCTTCTCACTGTATCCATCCCCAAAACAGACTAACAAAAGGATTGAGGTGAGTCAGATGTTGGTGGGAAAAGAAAGAAAAGGAAAGAGGAAATCCAAGAAAGCTAGCCAGCCATTCTAATTGTTTTATTTGTGAGGGAACATGAGGAAGCAAAAGATAGTGATGCTTGTGAATGCTGAGAACAGGTGGCATCTTTCCACTGCTCCAGGATTCAGCCAACGGGTTGATTTGGGGAGTGTATGTAACTTCTATTGTTCATATTAATTTTGCTGATTTTTGGGTGTAGGTGCCAATAGTTGGCTTGGTTTTAAACAACTTACCTTTTTGTTAGCATCTCCCTCCACTTTTTGGGTAGATTTGAAGTGAATTGACATTATGTGTCAAATGAGAGTCTGGGGCGGGGGAAGGGGGGGCTTATGTTTAGTAAGAATGAAAATGCTTCCTTAGCATTTGGTTCTATAGACAGAACATGTTTATTTAGAAGTGCATATGAACAACACTTCAGAGCCTGCTTAAGGGGTATTGATGTTACTTAGTCTGGGTTTAGTTCAGTTTAAATGTGCCCTTTTTGACATCTTGGAAAGAGCTGAATAATAATCTATAGATCAGATGATAATATATCAGTGTTAATTTCCTGATTTTGATCAGGAAAAATATATATACAGAATATACACACTTAAGTATTTAGGTATAAAGGTACATTGATTCTCCTTGAGTAAGAAAATAATATTTTCTAAGTATATTGTTATTGCATATAGAGAATAAAGCAAATATGAAATAACATTTAGGAAATTTGGGTAAAAGGTGTATAGGGATTTTTTTTGTACTGTTTCAACTCTTCTATAAGAAAAGTTAAGAAATTTTGTAAAAAAATTTTTTTCTGTGCAAATTCCTTTCAGCAGTAGGCACTTTAAAATTGTAAACTCCTTTCAATTTAGTTTTAAAGTGCATTAGGTAGAAAGTTTCTAACATCTTGAAGCAGTAATATAAAATTGCTTTGTGTTCTGGTGGCTGAGTCCCTTTAACTAGGTTGGTAATTTGAGGATTTCTCAAAGAAATAAACTATCTTTCAAAGGGCTGGATTACCTTCAGAAAGAAATCACATGCCAGTAATGAAAGTTTTGGAAGAAGATGGGTTCATTTCTTCTCTCCACTTTTAAATGGTTAAGTATAATCACAAATGTATTCTACAAGGAAATAAATAATAACTGAAGATGGTTGTTAGGGTAGTGGAATTTTAGGTAACTTATTTTTCTAAACTTGTATGCTTGCTATTATGGGAAAACTTATTTTGCATATAGTTTAGAATGACCTTTGTTCCATCCTTGATTCTGCAGTGTGGAGGCTGTGTCCTGCAGAGTCTGCCATCATGAACATATTTGATCGGAAGATCAATTTTGATGCACTCTTAAAATTTTCCCACATGTAAGTGTTTTGACCTTGACCTCAGTTTCTAATACTTTTCCTTTTGCCTCTAGTTTTTTTGTTTGTTTGTTTTTGTAGTTTATTCTTGTATGTGTAAGCGAACATTAACTGTACTGGAAGCCAGAGGATATGAGGGAAATACCGATTCTAAGGGCTACCTACTCTATAGAAAGCCAGTCATTTTACTTTAGGTACTAATTGTTCATATTTTGGGACTTTTGGCTGTTCACAGCATTTAAGATTCTGTTAGCCAGTTTTCAAAACATTCTATTTTTATTGTCATATACTTTTCACATATTCCTTGGGAGGAAGAGAGGAAAATGATTCTTAGCTTAGCCATGATAGTGGTCCTTGAGTGATGGCTGCTATTAACCTTCTTTCCTAGAACTCCCTCAACGCAGCAGCACCTGAAGAAGGTTTATGCCAGTTTTGCTCTCTGTATGTTTGTGGCAGCTGCGGGGGCCTACGTCCATGTGGTCACTCATTTCCTTCAGGTAAGAACATTTTACACTTGTAGTTACTATAGGACACAGGAAGAAGCAAACTCAGTAGTATGGTATAAGCCTATACCCCTTTTAATTTTTAAAAAAGATTTATTTATGAAGACAGAACTGGGGTACAGGCCAGAGGTACAGGGGTGGTGAGAGACAGATTGGGGAGCAGAACAGGCAGATCACAAAGTCCACTGCTGAGGGGAGCAGCTGGGAGACAGGAGAGGTCTGCTGAGCCCTGTAGGTCAGCTCCCTGGCCTGGGATCGAATGCATGCTGCAGTGGCTGTGGCTAGTTTCGCAGTGCTGTGCTTTAACCTGTTGCACCACCAGAGAGGGACCTATCTCCCTCCTTAATCCTATTTAGTAGCTTGGGATCTGAACTCACCAGAGCCAGTCATTAAATCAGAGCTTAAGTTTTCTGGCAACTTTGCCCTCGCTAGATAACAGAGGGTCTGAACCCTGACACTGAATGATGTGCTGCTGACGTACAAGACTCCCAGCCACTGAGTAGAGACATGATATGCATGTTAGGATTCTTCCACATAGTAACCTTTTAACCTTTTCTTCTGTTCTTTATGTCTGAATGACTGTGGAACACTTGGGTACAAAACACTGATTGTATATTATCAGAGACAGGGTTGAGACCTTTAAGGATTTGACCCATTTTGTTCTCTCATACTTTTATATTTATATGGTGAGTGAAAATCTTAAACTATGTTCAGGGAATATGAATTTGACCAGCAGGAATAAGAGAACGGTTGAGGAATTATCAAAAAGTTTGAAGTTCGTACTAGCCAAAACTTGTCCCTTTTAGGGTGTCCTTTTTAGTATAAGTACACCTGTATTGGCATTTGCCACTATTAAGGAGAACTAGTTCTATTCTCTGGCTTCACACAGAGATATACAAAGTTACTCTAGATGTTTCAAAGAATAACACTTAGCCCTTTGATTTTAAACTGAAACTATTCCACTTTCTAGGCAAGAGTGGCACTTTGGATTTCTGGTTGTGTATGTAAGTCTTTTCAAGCCATGTAAAATTTTCGTCATTATTTGTAGATTTCATACTTGTGAATTTACCTGCTAACTAAAATTCATTTGTAACGTAAAAATCAACATTCATGGTGTGTTGTGGACATTTGCAGTAATATTCAGAGTAACAAATAATTCCTCACTGCGTTGTGTTCTAGCCGAAGTCAAACAGTGCACACAAGCCTTATCTCTAGCTCTTGTATTATAAACAAGTATCCTTTTCATGGTCTGTTTGGCATCAAATTTTCTGCATTTTTGCCGATGATTTGCTGTTTAAAATGGCCCCCAAACAGTGCTACAGTGCTGTCAGAAGACTGTGACGTGCCTTGCAGAGACTTACATGCATAGAAAACCATTTTTCACGCATGAGTTATAATGCTATTAGCTATGAGTTCAATGTTAATCAACAATACATATTTAAATAGATATCATTGTACAGTAAACTTGTAAAATAAGGTTATATGATAATCAGTGGTTGAAAATGTTGTGATCTCAGAGGCTTGCAGGAATCTAGCCTTTAATTCCCCTGGAAACAATTGTGCAGTATTCACTTATTCATTGTTCACAAACCTTTTCTGTGAAAAAAGGAAAGCTGGAGTCTCATTGCCTATATACATATCCTTAATGGTTTTTCTAATGCTTAATAGCTTCTCCCACTAGTTTTTATAAAAAAATTTTTTCTTACAAAACATACGAATCCGGAAAACAGACTAGTGTTTTCTATACAGGAGATATAAAGCACATTAGTCCCATCATCCAGAAATAACTATTATCTCTTTGGTACTTATTCTTTGTCTTAGAACATTCAGGCTACTGCAGCAGAATACATAGACCAGGTGGCTTAAACAACAAACATGTTTCAGTTCTGGAAGTTGGGAAATCCAAAAATCTGAATCCTGACTGATGTGTTGTATGGTGAGGGCCTACTTCGTGGCTTGTTAGTGACAATTTTCTTGCGGTAGCAGAAGGGGCAAGAGACAGTCCTGAGCACTAGTTCCCTTTTTGAAGGCTCCATCCTTATAATCACCTATCAGAAGACCTTAAATTCTTTTAGATGGAGGTTAGGATTTAAACATGACTTTGGGGAGGACACCAACATTCAGTCTCTTCTCTCTATGTGTATGTGTCTCCCTGTGTATTTTGAAGTGATCACAAAGGAGTCACTTATACTTGTTCCACAAATTGGAACGTGCTTTTCAAAACACTTCTCAACTTTACTTCATTTTTTCTATTTCTTGTGCAGGGCTCATAGTTTTACTTAGGTAGTTCTGGTTGATGAAACTACCCAGCCTAGCAAAACCTACAACACCCCCTATGGCCCTTCAAGGCTTCTGGTTTCTTTCCTCAGCCTCCACTGCCTCTTCCATTGTATATTAGGTTAGAAGGAAGTATTAGGATGTTCAGACGATCATTTGAACAATGAAGAAACAGTGAAGTCTACAAAATTTGTTGTTTTCAGGTATTTAATTTTTTTACTTTGGATCTTACAGGCTGGCCTGCTCTCTGCATTGGGCTCCCTGGGCTTGATGCTTTGGCTGATGGCAATACCTCATAGCCATGAAACTGAGAAAAAGAGGCTGGGGCTTCTTGCTGGATTTGCTTTCCTTACAGGTATGTTAAGGAATTAATCTAATCTTGAGGGACTAAAATTAGAGGAACTTTTTTTTTTTTTTTTTTTTTTAAAGAATTATCCTGTTAGTGAAAGATAATTTTCACTTAGAAGAACTGGGGTACAGGCCATAGGTATGGAGGGTTGAGAAGATTCACCAGAGGTGGTGGGGAGAACAGAATAGGCAGATCTACTGAAACACTGTTGAGGGAGCAGCATGGAGATAGGAGAGGTCTGCTGTGCCATGTTGGTCAGCTTCCTGCCGGCGGAATTAAACTCTGGCTGCTGCTTAAACAGACACAGTGGTAGTGCTGAGACTTAAGTCTAAGGTATAGTCCTGGGCCTAAGGCCTGAGATTTGTATTTTTCAGATTCACCTCTACTGGCACACTCATGTCGTTCAACCTTGTATTAGAGTATATTTTGCCTTGTGCTGCTTTCCTCATCCAGGTGAACCTTGCTTCCCCATCTAGAGGGTAAGCGCTTTGTGATTAGTGACTCTTACTTCTGCCTTTGTATCAAAAAATAAGCATGTGTATGCTTATGTAGGTAGCTTGACTTGTTGGTAGATGTGGGATTAAAATGGGCCCAAGACTCAGACTTCTTTGGACCCATGCTGCTGGCCTGGGTCAATGGCAGCTCTCACAGGCTATGTGTGAACCTGCAGACAGTTAATTGAGTCATATATTGAGCTCTGTCGTATGTGTATAGCAGCTCTGCTTGGCTGATTGTCAAGAAAAGCAAAGCACAGGAAACAGGACTCAAACTACGTAGCATACTTTGAGAGCAGCAACAGAGTACAGCTTGTTCAAGTGAGTCTAATATATATGGTGTTGAAATTCTAGAAAGGAAGGGATTTAGAGATTAAGATTTTCAGATCTTCAGTGTTTGAAGGCATTAGGAATTAGAATTGTCAGGAGGACAAAGTAGAGTAGCCAGAACAGAGGAAGTGTTGGAGCTGGAACAGAAGCTTCTGTGTCCTGTTGGCAAGTGTTCACCTACAGAACCGGTCTGGCCCTTTTTTTGCTACAACAGCAGGCTGTCTATATGATGACCACTCGCTGGCTCACCACAAGACTCTCCTTTTTCTTGTACTTGAATTCCTGATTTGGCCCACATTACAGGCTCGTGTCACTCGGCTTTGGAATTTTGCAGCCTTGTGACTTATCTCGAAAATGTTGGCTGTGCTTGCTTGATTTTTCTGGCATTGTCTGATTTTTTAGCTAAGAGGGCAGCTTTGCAGTTCTGTCTGTAAAATAACTCAGTTAAGTTTACAGTCTCTTAGAAAATAAGGATGGAGATTTTTTGTACACGTTTCACATTTTGTACATATTTGGAACGTGGGCTTACCCTGTGCCATTATGACCAACTTGTAGGTGAGTCCCCTTCAAGAATTGATAGTAACATCAGTGTGTCCTTGTTTCTAGGAGTTGGCCTGGGCCCTGCTCTGGAGCTGTGCATTGCCATCAACCCCAGGTAACTCTTTGCACCTTTATGAATATACCCTCTGAATATAGACCTCTGGCCCTCAGCCTCATGGTCTTTTCCTTAACAGCATCCTGCCCACTGCCTTCATGGGCACAGCAATGATCTTCACCTGCTTCACACTGAGTGCGCTCTACGCCAGGCGCCGTAGCTACCTCTTTCTGGGAGGTGAGTGTGAACTGGAAAACAGGGCGAGAGGGTCTCCACTCGCGAAGATTCTCCCCCAACTTGTACGTGGAGATTGAAAACTTTCATTCTCAGTGGGGAAAAGTGGGAATGGTCTTAATGGAATTGTTTTTGCTTTACTTTGGCTTCTATTGAGATGACCTTTTGTTGCCTTACAGGTATCTTGATGTCAGCCATGAGCCTGATGCTCTTGTCTTCCTTGGGGAACCTTTTCTTTGGATCCATTTGGCTTTTCCAGGTGAGATTTTGTATATAACTTTCTAGGGCTTTTTGCCTCACTTCTTAGCTCTAAAACCAGCCAAGAATCCTTCAGCATACTTACCTTTGTGGGACAGAGCCCTCACAGCCTCCCCAGCCTCCGGGGATGGAGCCTTCTGCTGTGGTGAGAGTGCAGACAGAACGGGCATTGCATATTCCCAAGAGATGGAGAATTATTCAGCATTCGTCTCTCGACCACTCCAGTGGTCGCTCCTGGTTAAATGATTGAAACTTCCAGTGACCTAAAATATTACTACAGCATTGTGACATTGTTGATGTCTCTGTGGCGAGTATTTGATACTTCTAAGTGGCCAGAAAGAAGCTAGTTTGCCCTTTCTCCACAGTACCTACTGCATGGTAACCTCATCTCATTCTTTGACCAGGCAAACCTGTATTTGGGACTGGTGGTGATGTGTGGCTTTGTCCTTTTTGATACCCAACTCATTATTGAAAAGGCTGAAAATGGAGATAAGGATTATATCTGGTGAGTGTGGAAACTGGTCTTCATGAACATGAAGGGTGAGGCACACTATTAGGTTCCAAGGCTCTTCCCTTTGCCTAACCCACCTGCTGTCCTGGTGGTGCTGAACTCATGGGGGCCACTTTGGGGAGTGGATATGGGTATGGAGCGAGGCACAAGTAGCATAGTTATCAATTTCTGAAAGACATCAGATTTTTAAAAACTGAATAAAAACTTGTTAAATAAGTGGTTATCTGGACAGAGGAAAGGGGAAAGGGTCTTTTGACCTGTTACTCTGTTTTGCATTCTTTAAACCTTTTAACAGTGAGAAGCTGTGCAAATAAATGTTTTTAATAAGTAATTTTGTTATGTAGTGATCCTCTCAGAACCTCAGAGCTAGCTGTGGAAGTCCAGGGTTCAGACGTGGATGTCCGCAGAGCCTAAAAGCCCAGGTTTCCTTTCCTCTGGTGCGGAAACCACCAGAGTGAGAAGGGGCCTTCTGCTCTGCAGCCACTTCCTTGGTGGTGTTGAAGTGAACTTCTGGCGTGGGGCTTACGTCGTGTGCCCTGAGCTTTATGGATAAAGAAAACTAGCAGTACAATTTGACATCTGGTTCTCTTTCAGGCACTGCGTCGACCTCTTCCTGGATTTTGTTACCCTCTTCAGAAAACTCATGATGATCCTGGCTATGAATGAGAAGGTTAGTTGAGTCCAGCATGTGGTACTTCGGATTTGTAAGGTCCAGGTATAAGGCAGGGCGTTGGTGAGGGGTGAGCTGGAAATCCTTAGCTGGTGGAGGAAAAAGGAACAAAAATAATCTTAAAATCAGATTAGTATTAAAGGGAAAGGGGTAGTGGCCGCAAGAACTACTGTATGAGGAAATGAAGGACTAAGAAACAGATTGAGCGTATTTATATTACATATTCCATATTCATCCCCCCCCCGAAACACATTGTATATATGGTTAGGGTCAAACGTAGATCAGCAGGAAGGGGACAAACCAAACCAGGAGCTTCTTTAAAAAGGAGCAAGAGACTGTGGTGGCGGCGGCAGGAACTGGGTGGGTTGGTGTTCTGTGCCCTGACCAGACCAAGCCGCTGCCCGGGCCCTGGCAGAGCAGCTGGGTTTCCACTCTTCTAACACGCTTGGCCTCTGCCCCACACTGAATGGGTTCCCTTGGGTGAGATTATTTCTGCGTGTTGGCTTCTGCCCCGGATTGATGCGACCTCAATCGCATCAATGGAAGTGGAAGGTGTAATGGAAAATTAGTGGCCTGGACTTGTGTTTTTAGGGTGAGTGGCTGGCGCTGAGATGCAAGTAGTCTGGCCAGGCGCCCCCCTAAGTCTTGTCAGCAGGTCGGGGGCCACCAGTGGAAGCCGGTTAGGGTTCCATCGTGCTGCGTCGAGGGAGCATTTCTGGCTCTAGTCTATGGTCCTGACTGACCCCTTCTGGTCACTAGCCAATGGCAGCCAGGTATTGGCTCAGTCGAGTTCTAGCTTGAATGTTAGATGCCAAAAATTGATTCATTTCCCCCCTCTGTTTCTAGGATAAGAAGAAGGAGAAGAAATGAAAGACCATCGAGCCTTCCCCTGTTTCACTTCCCTCCACCCCTCATTTCCTCTTTGCACACATTACAGGTGGCGTGTTCTGTGATAATGAAAGCATCAGAAAAGCTTTTGTACTCTGTGGTTTTCTCTATTTTGAATTTTTTGATCAAAAAACTGATTAGCAGAATATAGTTTGGAGTTTGGCTTCACATTCCTGGGGGTTGTCCCCAATCTCTTCCTCTCGGCCCGGCCCCTTCCTCCGCCCAGGCAGCCAGCGCAGAGGGAGCAAACTTGGGAGTCTGCCACCTCGCGGCGTCGCCAGGTGCGTCGCAACTGTTCGGTGGAGCTGCCTTGCCTGCCCTGGAAAAGAAGTTTGCTGGTGGGCCTGAGCTGTGTCCACCCTGCAGAGGAAATGAAGCGCCTCTTCGCTGGTGGCGACTTAGCTGCCCAGGCCTGGCAGCCCCGCCTGGCTGCTGGGAAAGGAAAGTGAGTGCGAGTCTCCCGTCCATCTCTTTTCTGGCCCCCACGAATCTGCCTTCTTTCCGTCCATTGGTGGGAAGACCTTTCTTGTTGTATGGCAACCATAGAGCCCCCAAATTTCCCTGATCTTTTTTTTTGCCAGTTGGTTATCACCTCAGTTACTGAGTGGCCTCCACCAGGTGACTGTAAACCAGAGGTTCCAGAAAGGAGAGGAAGGCGAAACTAACTTATCCTGCCAGACAGCCCCCGATAAGGACTTGTTTGGGGGGCGGAGAGCTGACCGGCAGCAGCCCACCAGTTCTTTGGTGCGGTTCTGTCCCGTCCCACCTTGACACAGAAGTATCAATCAAGCCAGAGACTCGGGGCAGTAGCCCGATGTGTATTTTCCACATGTGCTTCAGTTTTTGGTCTCTTCACCTGTTTAACAGAATTCTACAACCTTCCAGGTGAGACCCAGGTGACTAAACCTGCAGTATCCAACACCCCCTGCAGTTTTGTGGTTGCAAGTTGTGGGCACACGGTACCTTGGGGGGCTCAGCTCCTCCCCTGCGCATGGCCGCCTCGCCCAGGGCTGCTGGCGCACACCACAGTGCCTGTTCCTGAGCTGTGTGTGTTCCCGGGGGACAGGTCCCCCAAGATGGTTTCCGCATGCTACTGCTGCCTCCAGCCTCTGGCTTGAGAACTTAGTGAAGCGACTTCCTTCTCATTGGCCCCCAATAGCAACTCGCAGTCTATCAAGTTGGTTGATTCTCTGCTAGGTCTGAGAGGCTGAATTCTCTCTTGAAGCCAAACTCCACCTCTTGTGCTTTTTTGCTTGGGATAAAGGAATTTTTCTTTAGAAACAGTGCCAAGAATGACAAGATATAAAAAACTACTTTTAAAGAAAATGCCTAACAGGTTTTTAATACAGTAATCACTGTAATTATCACTTTCTTTTCTAGTTCCTTGGTTTTCAGCTCAGGCTGCATTCTCTAACTCATACTGTGAAGACAAAGGTGTTTTTGATTCAGAAATATATGAAATCTACATAGTCTTAATTTGTAAAAAATAAAGAAAAATCCTTAACCTTTCCTGGTAGTGTGTTAAATTCCATGTCACAGTTGAACATGGGTGTTGTCTGATTTGTTGGTGGGGGCCTGGGAGTCAGACAAGATTACTGTTCAAACCTGAACGGAAATGTAAGGAGCAGCCCCCCCCCCCAGCCCGGCCCCCCACCGTGCCCAGGAGCGCACTCGCTCTGTAGCACCTCAGCTTGCCACAAGTGTGGGTTCTCTGTCACGCCACAGCCTGGGGCTTCTGACCTGGCCCTCTGGCCGCTGCCGTCCGATTGCGGTGGCAGGACTTACGGTTGGTTCTAGTGTATGGTGTGCTTTGGAGTTTGGGGGCTCCTGGGGTCCACTCATCGTGGCTGAGCGCTGTTCTGGGCACTCGGAACCGCCAGTGAGAAGTTCAGAAGACTGTCCTGTCCTGATGGCCGAGGCAGCTCTGAGCGGTGTTGCGGCCTTTGCCCTCTGCTGGCCAAGTGCACGCGCATGCGCACACAGCGTCTTCTAGGGTTTGACTCGCGCTGCTGGCGCTCGCAGTTTAACTCCCAGGTAAGGAGAGCCACTGCTTTCCCTAGCTGGAAACTGCCTTAATTGTCTTTTCTCTATTTTTTTTTTCCTTGTTGGCCGAGAAGTCTCTACTCTAAAGCTCACTTTTATCCTTTGTTGCCATCTATTTTGAGTCAGGAACACAAAATGAGCAGAATGGGCTGTGATGACTTGGGAGGCAGCACCCTACAGGTTTGGTCAATACTCCAGTAGCCTTGAGTAACTCCCAAGGTCATGACTGCAGGTGTTCCCTCAGCAGCCCAGCCCCAGCCCTCTCCTCCCCCGTTCCTTGCTGGTTCCCTCTGTAGGTTAGTCCCCCTGGCTGATAGCCTTTCCGTCCTGACCATTCAGCTGGACTTAGTGGCTCCAGCAGGGTGAAGAAGGAAATGTTGGCAAAAGCTCACCAGCCCCAGTTGGTAAGTCAGTAGTAAAAACGGGTGGGAAGACCACAAGGGATTGAGGTGATGGTCAACATGTAGGTAGGACTACATTGATGTCAGACATGCAAGTAAAATAACAAGGAAGCTTCACCTGGGCAACACCTGGATTTAGGGCCAAGGAAATGGTTCTGTCCTGTGGGTAGCAGCAGTGAAGGGCTTTGAGCGGGGCGTGGTCAGGCCGCAATCTCACTGGTAACTAGAGGAGACTGGGAAAGGGCCAGTGGAAAGGTAACTGCACTGACGCCTAGAGGGTGGCTTCTCCTTTGCCACTCCAAGGAGCCCAGTTGCTTGGAGAGGTGCAGAAAGAAGCTGCTGGAGAGGTGCAGAAAGAGGCTGCACAGGGGACGAACCTGAGCTGGGTGCTAACAGCCTAGAGGCTGCCGAGGACTTAGGACCCCCAGGATCCAGGCCGACCTAGAGAGGCCCCCGCTGGCCACAGCTGGGCCATTTGGATAGCTGGATCACTTGAACACGGGTAAGAGATTCGCATTGGACTGAAATGTTTTTAAAGCTCTTGAGTTTATGGTGACATTTTAAAAATACATGATTTACCACTGCAGGGTGCTAGAACCCAGTCATGTCTGAATATTTGTTAAAGAAGTCTATCCTTTTCTGAATGAAGTATACTCTAGAGTAATTCTAAAGTGAAAGTTTCTACAGAAATAGCCCAAGTGACAGGAAGCAAACAAGCCTAGTTAATAATGTTTGGCAATGATTACCGATAGCCATCAGCCTCTAGGACGCAGCCCAATGTCAGGTGCGTCCTGCCGGAAGGAAGCAACAGCACTGATAATATATATATAGAGAGAGAGGTATCTATCTATATAGATATCTATATATATTTAAAAAAACACTTTGAGCTCCAGTCCTAATACTTTATAAGAAAGGAATTAAAGGGTGATAGCAAGTGAGACCAAAGGGATGCAAACAGCAAAAGCGAGTAAATGTTAAACTCAAGACAACTTGATTCCTTCTGCTTAAACAATGAGACACACGAACAAAATCAAGAGGAGGGGACCCAAGGGCAGAGATGGAACCTGTGGCCGGCAGCCGCTGAGCAGGATGGGCCCAGGGAGCGCCCCGGGAGCGCACCTGGCCTGAGGCTGAGGCGAGTGTCCTAGGGAGCTGCACCACCACAGGCAGCTGCCTCCTGGGCGCTTTGGTCCGCTTGTGGGTACCAGGGACTGGGGGGGTACCAGGCACAGGGCCATTCCCCCAACACACTGCAGAGAACCTGAGTCCCCTCCCCAGCAGCAGCCCGGTGTGAGCGAGCACCGGTCAAGCCTCCGGGTTACACAGCAGGAGCGCCCCACTTCCTGACCCTCAGAACCATAAAGTTTTAAGCCACTAAGCTACACAGCAGCAAAAAAGAATGCTAACTAGATGATGGTTTAAAGAAACAGCGTTATGGCAAAATGCTAATGCTGTAATTATGTTCAAGTTATCTTTAAAGAAGTGTTGAAATATGTATTGATGCATTAATATGCTCAGATTTGCTTCAAAATGCCACAGTGACCCTCCCTGGTGGCACAACGGGTTAGGATGCAGCACTGCAGCTGGCTACAGCTGCCTCAGTGCGAGTTTGATCCCCCACCCCTGAGGTGACCACGTGGCACAGCAGACTTCTCCTGGCCCACCCGTTGCTCCCCTCAGCAGTGTGCTTTGTTGATCTTCCTGTTCTGCTCCCCACTCTGTCTCTGGTGCACCCTCTCACAGCCCCTGTACCTCTGGCTTGTACCCCGTTACGCATGCACAAATAAATCTTTAAAAAATGCCGCCGTGGCAGCGGGGAGCAGTCAGATGCAGTCAGTGGTTATCAGTCTGCTATCGCTGGGCCATGGGCATAACATTCAGGTGCCAAGCTCTCTACTTTTTTGGATGTTTAAAATTTTCTGTAATGAGAAGTTTGTCTTAAACACCCACAAAGGGCTCTTCCTGGTAGCACAGCTGGTTCCAGGGCATCACCGTGGAGCTTTCTGAATTCACTGCAACATATGTTCAATTCCAGGCTAGGCCAGGCAGGTGACCCACATGGTGTGGCAGACCTCTCCTGACCCTCCCGCAGCTCCCCTCAGCAGTGCATTTCGTCAGTCTGCCTGTTCTGCTCCCCACTCTGTCTCGGGTGAAGCCTCTCACCGCCCCTGTACCTGGCCTGTACCCCAGTTCTGTATGCATAAATAAATCTTTTTTAAAAAACCTTGTAAAGGGATAACTACAGTGGTCCGGGCATGAGGAAAGACAGCTGATGTGCAGCAATAGTTGCAAGGATTGTGGCTTCTCTACCTGTGTGTGTTTGTGACCTCTCTGTGCGCCTGTGTGTGGGAAAGAACTGGATCAGGCCCTCCCGCATGACTGCCTTGAGATGGCGGCCCACATCGCCAGGCAGCTCGGGACACGAGAGGGCCATTGACTGACTGCATGGCCACGGCCCGGGGGGAGCTCGGAAATGACACCAGGCACCTGCACAGAAGTCCTCCCTGTCCACCTGGGCAACATGTCCCTCCTGCTCCCCACAAAGCTGATCACCATTTGTCTCCCGGGCCCTCCTGCCGCCATTGTCACCGAATCACTCCTGCTTGGTCACAACTTGGTCAGTAGTCACCGGGCGGCACAGACCTGCCTTGCAAACCCGCTCCCCGACTCGGCCCTCGGCGTCCCCAGGGACGAGCTGACCCAACAAAGGACAAGTGGAAAGGACCCAAATGTTCACTAGGTCAGACGTGTTGCCGATGGAACTGCTGCGGGGAGGCAGAAAGATGGGAGAACCCAGGGTCCTGGCACGTGGCTTGCATTGGTCCCGCCAGTCACGGCAGCCATGGGCGAGTTCCCCAACTTCCCTTTACTGCTCAGCTCGGATTTTAAAGTTTCTGTCTGGAACTTCCACCCTCCAGCACCATCTCTGCCTGACTTGTTCTGCCCACCCTGTAGGCTCTGCCATCACCTCCTCTAGGCAGCGTTGAACCCCCAGACTGGAAGAGAGCCCCTCTCGGGGTAGGGGGTTCCCCCATGGCCTTATCTGCGTCCTAAGATCCCAGTTACTTTATCTCTGGGTCCCTGGTGACAAGCTCGGTTCTTCACACCTAGTAGGTACCCACAAGTGTACAAACATGGGGGGCATGGCAGGATGAGGAGAGAAAGGGGAGTCCCAGCATGTGGAGGAAGGTCCCCAGCGAGTACTTTGACTTCAGAAGGGTCTGGAAGAGAGAGGGGGCAACCCCGACTCAGTCCGACTTCCCCAAGCCAAAGCCGCCTAAACACTGCCGGCTTTGGGACTGGCTGGAGAAAAATGCCCCTGCCCATGCCAAGCTGGGGGGCCGGCCGCAAGCTGTACTGGGAGGCGTTTGTATCTGCAGACCGCGTGTGTTCATATCCTCTGGACTCTGGGGAAGGAGCTGAGTGGAGGCGGCAGCCGGGATGCACTGGGTGCTGGGGTCAAAATGGTGGCGAGCACCCTGAACTTCCTCTCTGCACCACAGGGTGGCAGCTCACACCCACAAACCTCCCAGCTGGGCGCTGCTCTCTGTACCACCTCGTGGCAATAGATTTTCTAATTGTTCTGTAGGCACTGGCTTCGTTTTCTTTAGATAATTGGAAACAACGAACAAATGTGGTAAACTTAAATTTTCATTTTTAAGATAACACCTTGGAGATGCCAAGATCTCCGTGCCATCCTGTTGGTATCTACACTGTGGGGACCGGGAAACCAATTTCCTGATGGCTTCAGCTGCCCAGACTCAGGCTGCCTGCTCTCCCCTGCAGGGGTCATTCTCGCATTCACCGGAGACCTACCTCCTGTTGTCCTCCTGCTCCGGGACCCTAGGTGGGTGTGGGGTGACCCTCCATCACCAGCTAGCCAGTTCCAGAGCTTCTCACCTGCCTCCTTGCAGCCAGCGACACTGGGTGTGAAGGTCCAGTCCCCTCTCCAGGCCACAGCCCATGCCCTTCCGGCCTCCTGCCCGCTCCCCTTTCACCTACACTTCGGTTGCATTGGAACCCCAGCCTGACCCTGAGGAGGTACGTAAGCTCCCTGAACCTCAC